CTGAAAACTTTACTCTATCCACATCAATAAGGTCAGCTCTACTCTGAGGAGGCAGCTCTTCCCTAGTTGTTTCTTGAGTGCCTTCCAATATGAGCGGCTCATTTTCTGGCACTGTATCAGACAATGTTTCTGGTCTCTTCATAGAGTTTTCCAGTACTGTCTCAGATAGTGTTTCACTGCCATTCATAAGGTTTTCACTGGCCAATTTTTTTGAGAAATGGATGGTCCTTTCCTTCTTCCAAGTCTGTCTTAGTCTGGAAGCTCTGCTGAAACCTGTTCACCATGGGTGACCCTGCTGGTATTTGAAATACCAGCGGCATAGCCTAAGGCCTCACTGCAACATGCAAGCCACCATAGTATGACAAACTGACAGATAAGTGGTGGCCTATGTATGCATATGAAATGAATGAAAAAACCATGGATTGGGTCAGGAGTACCTTAGTCCTCATAATGACATCTTTCCTTTTTAACAGTTTAAAGAAGTCTTTTGCAGCAGGTTTGTCCAATGAAACATGTTGTTTGATTTCTTACCTGTGTTCTATGATTGTTGATTATGGATTCAAGTAAAACAAAATTGTTGACAACTTCAATATTTTCTCTGTTTATTATGATGTTACTTACTAGTGTCCAGTTGTGAGGATTTTTGTTTTCTTTATATTGAGGTAGAGTCTGCACTGAAGGCTGTTGCCTTTGATCTTCATCAGTACGAGCTCAAGTTCACCTCACTTTCAGCAAGAAAGGCTGTATCAACTGCATATAGATGACATAGAGGTTGTTAACGAGTCTTCCTCCAAACTCAATTCCCTGTTCATCTTCATATAGTTCTGCTTCTCAGATTATGTGCTCAGGTTATAAATTGAGTAAGTAAGGTAAAAGGATACAACACTGATGTACACACTTCCTGATTTAAAACTATGTACTTGTTCTTTTCAAATGATTGTCTCTTGGTCTATGTACAGGTTCTGCAAGAGCAAAATTAAGTACTCTGGAATTCCCATTCTTTGCAATGCTGTCCATAATTTATTACAATCCACACAGTAAAATATCTTTGCATAGTCAATAAAACATAGGTAAACATCTTTCTGGCATTCTCTGCTTTCAGTCAACATACATCTAACATCAGCAATGGTATCCCTCATTCATATCCTCTTTTGAATTCATCTTGAATTTCTGGCAGTTCCATGTATTTGTACTGCTGCAACCATTTCTGAATTATATTCAGCAATATTTTACTTGCATGTTATATTATTATTATTCAAACATCATATAATAAACATACTGGTGCCTTAGGAGTTAAGCAGGTTTACTCTATTTGAATTAGTGAAGCAAAACTACAAAAGACAATTCAGATTAAGATCTCCAAGTCTATAGAAAAGAAATCTAGGAACATGAGGCACAAAAAGCTATAGTTAGTGTACATCAATTTTACATTTCAGCTTTTCTCTCTCAAAGTTCCAGAAATTCATCCCTGAATTTATACTAATAGTAAAATATCTAAGTGTACAAATTTGTTTTAGAAAAATAACCTAGAATACTTCATCAGAGTTTGAGAGTTACACCTCAAGTTAAGCTTGTTCTTAGCTTCCTTTCTGCTAATAGATGGTTATTATCCTCTAAGAAACATTTTTTTCTATTCCTTCTGTCTTTATATTAGAGCACTTTTTTTAAAAAAAAAAAAATTCTATAATTCCAAAGACTAATAACGATGATAATGACACCAACTAGAAGAGAAAAGCAACTGATATTTAGTCAGCATTCACATGGCATTATTCCATTAACTCTTCATTACAACTGCATTTTAATATTCCCACTTCAAAGATGAGAAAATGAGGCTGACACTTGTTCATAGTCCCCACGGGATTTGGAGGTAACCAGAAAGCTGGCAGTTCAAACCCATCAGCCACTCCTCAGAAGGAAGACGGGGCAATCTACTTCCATAGAGATACCGGCTCGCAAACCCAAGGATGGGGTTGCTGTGAGTCAGATCCGACTCCACGATAGTGAATTTGGTTTGGTTTTTTTATGTTTAGGTATATTTCAAAAAAACTAAATAAAGGCTACATTTTCTTGAAACTGATAATCTAAGCTAAGGACATAATAATACAAACAAACAATATATAGAACATAAATGTGCAGTTCAAAATTGAATTTACAAGTTAATAAAATCTCCACATTTGCTACAAAATGGTACACATCTTGAAGCACTAAATCAAAGGTAAAGAAACAAAGTTGCCAATTTACATATGTTGAGCAAAAAAGAAATTCATTTACAGTTTTACCATAGCTATTCAAAAGGCTTTTATTTTATATACTTTATCTCAGTCTGTAAAGCAGTAGTGAGAAGGAAACCTATATCATACCCATTTTAAAGAAGAGAAAGTAAGCTAATCCTTATCCTGAACACGTGCCATATACTTTGCATGTGCTGACGTCAGGTTTATAGCCTGAGCAGTCTAAATGTGAAGGTTAGGATTTCAAAGGTAGTTTAAGTAATACAAAGACAGAATTGTTAAGCTAAAAGATATTTAAGGAAGTATTTAAGTTTTTTTTAATAACTTATTTTTAGTTCATTGAACAGAGCTCTAATGGCAAAAGAAAAATAATTCTCATTTTCAAAAATAAATTTTACTGACAATTCTGTTGCCATTTCAGCATAATTCTGCTACAATTTCTAGGTTTTGTCAGTTAACCTTAATATAAAAATATACCCCAGAGCTGTGATTGTATGAATTCTGCATTTAACCTAAGTGTCAATTTCACAAGTAGCTCATTATATTGTAAGAGCTATTGCCTACTGAGTAGAAAAATATTCATTTCACACCTTAAATACTTTAATACTATTTAATAACAGCGCTGGCCTGCCAACTATTAAAAGCCTGCTTTTATATACTGTGCTACCTGAGCTTTTTATCTTGCCTTTTTAATTACAACAATAAATTAATATCCTAACACTACAACAGTGACAGGCATTGATTAAAAATATATTAGTTAACAATATTAGTATTTATTGTGCAAAGTTGCATTAGAAGTTCATTTCAAAATACAATTATCATCCAATAATACTAAGATAGTTTAATCTTCAAACTATTCAAGGACAAAATAAAGTATAGGATAGTACCATGTCTTCACATTAACACATTTTTCTTAACTTTACATTATGTCTATTATTTACTATAATTAGCTAACTTACAAATATAATTGTATAATATAATTTGCCAATAAAATTTATACACATATGAAGGGAATTTCCTTCCTCTGAAACACATCCTTATTTTCCTTTTGTCTTGATTGTATTTTTTACTGTATTTATATCTAATAATGATGTTACCACCACAAATTTTACATATATTATCATATTAACATTTCTCAGTTACATGCCTCATCATGTATCTATATTTAACTATTTTTTCTATTCATTTGGAGAAGGAGCCTGCTCAGTTGAGTCCTGTTCAGATGAGGCATTCTACCTATTTTTCACTAAGCCAAACTCAAGCTTTTTATTACCCTTCAAGACTGAAAGAAGGATTCAGAGAATTCTAACATTTATGAGGTAGGGTTCAGTGAAAACAAAATGAAATCATAACAAGCTTTACTGCTTTGATAATACCCTACCAGAACACTATGGAAACATAGTGTAGCACCTGTATTTAACAACTGATCCTTTTGACTCCAACTAGTATAAAATAAAGATGTCAAGTGCTTGCATTACCATCCCATTTCTGGAAATCATGAACAAACTGTAAAAACTTTCTCACTTACCATACTCTTATTAAGTGTCCACTGTAAATAAGCCCAAGGAGCGCTGGTGGCGTAGTGGACAAGGCATTTGGCTGCTAACCAGGAAGTCAGCAGTTCAAACTCCCAGCCGCTCCATGGAAGGAAGATGGGACAATCTAGTTCTGTAAAGATTTACAGCCTTGGAAATCCAGTGAGAGTCACTATGAGTCGAAATTGACTTGATGGCAGTGAGCTTGGCTTTTTTGGTTTGGTATATAAGCCCTTCTCTAGATGTTAAAAGGCTAGATTTGAAGAAACAAATCTTCAATTTGTTTCAATTAAGTTCCAATTAGAGATACAGAATATATATATGACTAAAAAATGAACTAAGCATAAATACCACATTTAGTATATGAAAAGGAGATTCAGCTTGATAGTCCAATGAGTTCTCAGGTACACAGTAGTTCTTGCATACATTTCATAGTGTTATACAAATACCAGGACAAATTCATCGTAAACACAATGTACTCCAAATTCAAGTATTTCTTAAAGAATTTGCATTGCCATTTATAATGCCAAATGTTATCATTACTGGATCTGTTATTTTTTTCCAAGAAGAAAATGGATTTCCTATATCAATTTGTTTTACTACATATGAATTTTTAAATATTATCAGAAGATGTATTTTCATTGTTTTTCTCCCTAGGTTTCCTGTTACAGATGTACAAAATCCATAAACACTTACTTAACTAAAATTCAAGTTCTAAGGAGACTCTTAATACTAGATAGATCTTTTTTTTTTTTTTTTACCTCATGTACCTTTTTTAAAAAACTAGTAATTGAGATGTAACTGCCCTATTTGCTGAAGAGTTAAACGAGATATCAACAAAGCACTTAATTTAACTGTGACACTTAAGCACTCTTAGGCTCTCAGGAGCAGTACACTGTATTTTAGCAGAGAAGTTAAACAAAAGAAAGCTATTAGTACTGTAGTAGATATACTGAAAAAAAATCAAAAGAGAAACAATTATAATGAAGCTTAACACTCACATGTGCATTTATTTCAGCATAAAATAAGTTCATTTCCTCAAGAACTAAGAATGCTGCATTTTCCATTATTTACTTAAGTCTGCAGAACAATTTCATACCACAGTATTGCTTACATTTGCCATATTTTTAAAGCACAGCTAGCAGTCCTTTACTGTTCTAAGATTAGAATCTTGTAAGGTAATGTATCTTGAATGTTTTCTTGTAAGATAATGTTCTGCATATTCATCACCTACCTATAGGAGTTAAAAGTCCCATCAGAGTCTAAAGTAGAACTTGTTCTTCTTCCATTTTTATTTGCATCACCTGGAAAAAAAATTAGAAACACTAAATAATGGAGATTCTAAAACTGAGTATTTCTATTAAAATACTACTGTGTGACAGTTCTATGCACTATTTGGTCTAAAAGCATATACCCTCTTGTTCCTCTCCTATACAAAACTAACATTTATAAACCATTTATACACTAATATTTGTAAACACAGCAATATTTTTTGGTGCAGAGTCACCCATTCTGGCCACTGCAGTAGGCAAAAGAAAATACGCAAAGAGCAGACCTGAAAGGCATTTTAGCCCTGATTTCTTCAGGGGATAGGAATGTAGTAAGCAAAGAAGTAAAACAGAAAGCAGACTTGAAGGCTGGTAAATGAGGATGTGTTTTGATGGCTTTTAATAAACTCCAATAGTTTTTCTAAAAATATATGTTTTATGTTTAAACTGTAGTCAAAAGTTCAGTAGTCTAAAAAAAAATAAACAAAAAAACCCCACCACATCAAAAGGTATGTGTGTCTCCTATAGTAATATCAAGCATTTGGAGAAAGCATTTTTACTCCAGAAACTAGTATATTTGTAAAATCAAATGTGGAATAAATTCATACCTATCAATTTAAAGACTGTAGAATAAAAATAAATTTATTGAAGAAGTTAAAAAGCTGTTTATCAATACACCAATGTAAAATAAACATTCTTATTGAAAAAAAATTAACTTGAATAGTTTAAGTTTTTAAAATATACACACCCAAATCTAATTTTTATGAAACCATGGGTTATGACCATTAAATACATCATTGATTCTTTGAAACATATTAAAAAGACCAGAAACTGATTACATTTTATACTAATTCCTGTAATGTAACTTTCTAGCATCACATTATATTCATTTTTATGTTTAAAGCTTAATAATTCAGTGATTTATCCAATTTTAATTTACACTTTAATCCACTTTGAACAATCTACGGTGCCACTGGAGATCATCACAGTGGTCCTGGTTAAGTCAAATAGTAATTACAGAGCTTTCACTTTAAAGATGAGATTATTTTTAATTATTGAGTATAGTACTTAAGGTACCATACTTATATAATTATGCTACTCATTAAACGGTTATTGAAAGCTGAAATGTAATTTTAATGACAGCTACCTATTTTTCTTCGCACATTTTATAGTTGACAGATTAGTCAAGAATGCTGGTTCTCTTCAAAATCTTTGCAGCTGTGCCAAAGCATTCAGGGGGACAAGAACAGAACTGAGCCCACTTACAGAACTCTTACTCTTAACTACATTTTTCTTTTATTTCAAAATATACTTGCAGGGATTTTTTTTAAGCAAACCTCATAAAAATGTATTACAGCACTAGCAAACAGTGATAAATTTTATAGACATAAATAATCCAAAAATGCTTAAATGTTTAAAATCAATCTAAGTAAATATATGCTGTTAATTCCTTGAAAACATCACAAAGACTATACATACAACACACTTCATTTCTTTAAAAACAACAACTATTAATGGTAACATAATAAAATAAAAAGATTTAAGGAATATTAGTAAATGAAAATTTCATACATCACATGTTGTTTAAGAGCTTTCAGGCATTTTCTGTGAAATATTCTGTAACCCACAAGTAACTACTATAGCAACACATTTATTTAAAGTTTGAGCCTTATTTCTCCTTGAAACTAAAGATTATGATACATAAAACCTCACTAATATTTCTTTCTTTATGCTGATATTTATCATCTCAAATGCAAAGTCCCTCAAATAATTAAGAGACTTTTGGTTTTTAAACCACCAGGTTTTATCATCATAATCTACTACACAAAGGTTTTTTCCAATTTATAACTGTTTCCATATGAATATATCACATTTAATGTAACTTTCATGGCACAAAGGATGGTAATAAGGAAAAAAGCATTTTTTTCCCTCAAAAACATACCAAATAAGGAAGTACAATTGTTTCACTAACAATATTAGAGAAAAGATTTCAGAGTTTGCTATATGGGGAAAAGGCAATAAAGTTTTGAAGCGGGAAAAACGGCTTTGTTCCTTCAATCCCCTAGTTGAAATTAATTATAGCAAATGTTTATGAAAACATCTGTTCCTTACAGTTATAAATTCTTAGTTTTAGTATGGGTGACTCCATACTCTTATTCTGGAAGGAAACTAAGACTAACAATTAAAGGTTTACAGAAGAACAGAGAATTTGCAATTCTGGAAAATTGCATACACAGTGCACTACATCTTGCAGATTGTGGTTTGTGTGAAACATTTGGAAGGGATTAAAACTGGTAACTAGGAAAAACTGAAGTGAAACAGAAAGGTTCATCTTTTCATTTTTGTTGCCATACAATAGAAACGTTATCTGTAACATAAGAAAATACCAACTAAGTAGTATAACAAACGTTACTTTAGCATTCCATCTAATTTGGTGGTAAGTGAAATAAGCTAAGTTAATTTTCTCAGGCATTTTAATAAGTCTAATGACAATACAATCATGGAAACGTGTAGTGTTACCCAAAAATAACAACAGAGGGTGCAAGAGAGTTTAATATGATAGTTTTACTTGCTTTTCTGATTCTTGAACAAAGTTGTCAGGTAGGTGTAATTGTAACACAGGCTCTTTCCAGATCACACACATACACATACATGTAACTATATCACTAAAGTAAGTTTACATAAGGATCTTTAAATAATCAAAAAGTACAAACACATAAGTATATTTAAGATAATAGACTTTGTTTTACCTGCTTGAAAAGTAATTTAACTCATAGTAAAATTTTAAAATACAACAGAGATCTTAAAGGTATTTTCATTTTTAATGTAAATTAATCAATAAATTATTTGGATATACTCATTTAGTAAACCCAGAGTACACATATAAAATACATGCGATAAATAACATCTATATTATATATACAGCAATGTATATTTATAACATATTATATAACATTGTATATTTATAAGGACAGTTCATTACAATTGTGTTCATTACCTACATAATACATCTTTTCTTATAAGTTGGTAAGTAAGTTTGTAAAATGGATTCATGACATTCACAATTAAAATAAGCTGGGTGATCTGAAAAAGTATGCTGGTAGTCATACTCTTTTAAATGAGAATACAAAGAATACAGAATCTCCAATAGTAGTTTTTAACATTTGTTAAATATATAATTATAATTATATATATTAATAAATATATAATTTATTAAGATGATAATATATATAATTGTGACTGAGATTTCAAAACACGGTAAGTGGAATTATGGGTTCCCTTTTAGCTTTAACTGCACTCATGTTTCACTAAAGGCATTTATGGTTCCTACCTATGCACTGTTGAAATCATGCTAAGCTCAAGTTTATAATAAATTTCTGGAGTGTTTTTTATCCACAAACATCTGCTTCATGAAGGGACAACCACAGATTTTAAACTAGGTTAAGTTAAAAATAGCCAGGATACCACTATAAATAAACACACCTACTCAAATGTGTCTTCAGTGTACATCTAAAAACACTAAGTTTTAGAGTGTCACATCATATTAGTCATGGATTCTGAAAAGTAGTACAAAGTAAAGAAAAGGTTTTATCCCTGAATTGTTGGGCAATCCTCATCAAGTATATGTAATAAATATTACACATGGGGGAAAAAAAGACTTGGTTCAAACAAAGTTGAAAGCAAAGTTATGTTGTTTATGTGATAATATGTGATAACAATGCATAAACAAATACTGTAAAAACCTAAAATCTTTTGTGTCTTAAATGAATTAGTAATCTATTACTGATATTTTTTTTTGTGAAATTTTAAATTCCATATACAGTAAAATGACTTAAAAAATGAATAAGGAAAAACACAATGACTCAGCATTGTTCATGAATACAGCAGCCTATGAGAATACTAACCTATGTCAGGAATCAGGATAAATATAAGCCCCTCCAGGCTGATTATTCATAGTGAAAAACTTGGCCCACCCAGAAAATCTAAAAGCCAGTCGTAAGTCAATAGGCAGTTTGTATATTTAATAATTTTTCATATTATCTGTTATTGTTAATTTGTCTAACATTCTAATAACTCACTGGCCATATTAGGAGCTCTGGTGGTGTAGTGCCTAAGGCATCTGACTACTAAGCAGAAGGCTGGCAGTTCAAACTCACCAGCCTTTCAAACCCACCAACCATTCCTTTGAAGGAAGGTTGGGCAATCTACTTCCATAGTGAAACCACCTTGGAATCAAGGAGGGGTCACTATGAGTTGGATCTGACTCGATGGCATATATCAACAACAACAACTGGCCATATTTAGTTCTCTAAATTAAATTTTCACATTATTATTTCACATAATGAAATCTTAGATGCAAAGAGTCATATACATAGAAACAATTTTATTAACTAACATTTTCAAGTATGTAAGTTTAATTTAAAAATATAGTATTTTTGTTATTCTTACTAAATCAATAAAATAATTTTTTAAAAAATGGAGGGAGCAGCATTATACACATACTTACATTCTAGAAAGAGCTTAAGATTGCAATTAATAAATACAGTGCAAATAAAGGTGTATCCTACAGATGGATGGATAAGTGGTTGGAAAGATGGTTAGATAGGTAGGTAGATAGGTAGGTAGATATACATGTGTGAGCCTATATAAACAGGAAATGTGTTTAACTTTTAAGTGTATAAAAATATGTTGCTGCTGATCTTTGACTATAGTTCAAAGTTACTTCCAGGAAGAAACATTTACTAAATGGGTAAAATTAAACTGTCACATTCAGCTTAAATCAAACTAAGAAGGAACGTATTAGAGAATCACGACTGAAAACTCAAGCTCAGGCAAGACAGATCTGATTATGTGCTCTACCAATTACCTGCTCAGTGTCTCAGTTTCTTTGCCTGTAAAATGGAGATAATAACAGTTTCTACCACAAAGAGTGGTTACAAAGATTAAATGAAATAAACACATGTGAAGTTCTTAAGGCAGCATACTACACAATGTAAGTCATCAATAAATGTTAGCAATCGCTGTTATGAATGCTT